AAACTTTACATTTATTTCTTTCCACACTTGACAACATAAATACAGTGATTATTTCTGCTCTGTTTACTCTGTATATTTTTTTTTTTTTGAGTCAGAATCTCACTCTGTCGCCCAGGCTGGAGTGCAGTGGCATGCTCACAGCCACCTCAGCCTTGACCTGCTGGTCTCAGGCGATCCTTCTGCCTCAGCCTTCCAAATAGCTGGAACTACAGGCACATGCCACCACGCCCAGGTAATTTTTTCATTTATTGTAGAAATGAGGTCTCTCCAAGTTGCCCTGGCTGGTCTTGAACTCAGGCAGTCCTCTCACCTCGGCCTCCCAAAGTGCTGGGATTATAGGGGTGAGCCACTGCCCCCAGAAAAATATTTTGGAAAAATATTTTGGTCAGTTGAAGCCATAGGGGTAGATGAAAAAGCTTAGGGAGAGATATATTTGGTGAGAAAAAGGTCTGGGGAAGAAACTAGAGAACACCAGCATTTAATGAGGGGACAAAAGGGACTAAGGAGGAATAAGCAGAGAGGTAGGAGGGCCAGGAAATGATGTCTTGGAAGCCAAGGGAAAACTGGGCTTCAAAAAGATGTCAAGTTTTGAGAGAGAGAGGTCATGTTTCTCACTAGTTACCTCTCTCTCAAGCTTATATATGCCTCATTTTTTCCTTTTCTCAGTTACAGTGACATGAAACTGAGACCTCCTGTTCCCTTCTTTGCACACGTAGTAGGCAGGGTCAGCTATGGACATTTATACAAGTCTCTTCCCATACTACTGTGTTAGCTATAGTCCTGGCTATGGTATATTAACCTAACATTCCTACTCTCCTCCAACTTCCAGCTGGATGTTAACAATCATATCCTGTTACAACTGTTCCGAGCATGTGAAGGACATCTCATTAACTCACATCTTTTTAGCCTAGCAGCATAATTCTTATGTGTTTATTTTCCAATTTCCCATAGCACTTCCCCTTTCAACCCTGCTGTGATGTGTGTAAATTTTCTTCCCTGTCTCCCACATTGAGATGCTGTGTGAATTTTGCCTTCTCCCCTATTACACGTGGGTTTAATTAACTACTTTCTCTACCTTTTTGCTCTTTCTGTTCCTTATTCCTCCTACCCTGTCTTTTTGTCACTGGCAATTTCATTGCTGATCTCCTGTCTCCCTTTCTCCTTTTTCCTTCTCCCTAATGTATGATGTAGCCGTATCTAATATCCATTTTGGTATTTCTTATATTATTTGTCTTTAATATTTCTGCATTTTATTTGGACTAGATTGTTAATTTTTTTTTTTTTTTTTTTGAGTCAGAGTCTCATCTTGTTGCCCATGTTGGAGTGCAGCAGCCCAGTTGTGGCTACTGCAGCCTCGACCTGCTGGGCTCAGGTGACCCTGCCTTAGCCTTCCAAATAGCTGGGACTACAGGTGTGCACCACCACACCCAGCTAAGTTTTTGATTTACGGTAGAGATGAAGTGTTACCATGTTTCCCAGGCTGGTCTTGAACTCCTGGGCTCAGACAATCCTCTTGCCTTGGCCTCTCAAAGTGCTGGGATTACAGGCATGAGCCACTGCACCCAGCCCTAGATTATTCATCTCTTAAGTGCAAGGAAGGCACCTTCACTTATTTGTGCAGATTTGCCTAGCATATATCTGCGTATGCACATATGCTCTTGATTGAACTAATTTTTTTGAGTGGGGGTTGAGGTTTGGGGGATTGTTTTATTCTGCCACCCAGGCTGGAGTGAAATGGCACAGTCACAGCTCAGGTGGTCCTTCTGCCTCGGCATCTTGAGTAGCTGGAACTAACAGGCACACACTGCCACACCTGGCTAATTTTTTTTTTTGAGTCAGACTCTTACTTTGTCTCCCAGGCTGGGGTGCAGTGGCACACTCACGGCTACCTCAACCTTGACCTGCTGGGCTCAGGTGATCCTTACACCTCAGCCTTCCAAGTATCTGGAACCACAGGTATATGCCACCACGCCATGCTAATTTTTTAACTTATTGTAGGAATGAGGTCTTACCAGTTTCCCAGGCTTGTCTTGAACCCGTAGGCTCAGGTAATCTTCTCGCCTCTGTCTCCCAAAGTGCTGGGATTACAGGCGCACCCTGCCTAATTTTTATATTTTTTGTAGAGATGAGGTCTTGCTAATGTTGCTTAGGCTACTCTCAACGCCTGGGCTCAAGCAATCCGCCTGCCTTGGCCTCCCAAAGTCCTGGGATTACAGGCATGAGCCACCAGGCCCCAGTTACAGAGAAAAGAAACTTTCCCAGGGCACTGGGGATGAGGAATAAAATAGAGCTCTTAGACTTCTCTTAGTTGGGAGGAGAAGCTTCTTATAGAAGATATACTAATTTGTTTGGGCCTTACTCCCCAGAGAGTTCTTTGAAGAACAGATTTTCTTCTTTATCTGTCCAAGTCAAGTTGCTAAAGATCCTTAGATATTTCTTTTACCTGTTGGTTTGAGGTACTGTTTAGGAGTTGCTTTAGGAATATTATGTATATATCCCCAAGCAATTGTTCTTTTCTAGATTCAAATACAGGCTTTCAGATGGATTTGGAAGTGTTATGTAGATTTTCCAAAACTCGTTGATTAATTAGGCTGAATGAAACTATGTGACAAAAAACTTAATTTTCTCACTGTGAACACCCTAACTTAATGGCTAGGCTTAGTTACCTACTTTGTGACTGAACAGCTCTCTAGATAGTTTGGAAGTTTTTGGAGACAAAAACTGGGTCCTATATTATGTGTCTTCACCAAAGGCATATGTTTTATAAGTGCTCAGGAAATATAAATTAAATGAATAAATAAACTCAGTACATTCTGTGCTATATTGTATTTATGTAAAGGGGACAAATTTTCTTTTACGCTCTTTCAGCGTACTCAACTTCAATTCTGTGGCTATAATTCCATAATCCAAACTTGTGAATCTGAGACTGTTTATCTTATGATGTAGCAGTATAGAACTTGAAACTTCTAAGGCACAAACTTGAAATTTCTACTTGTGATGAATAACTGTTATTTTCCTGGAAATATCTTTCTGCGGGAATTGGCTTGTCTCATCTTTGTTGCATTTCCCCTCATATAAACCTTGTGCTTCAATAAGACTTTTCTGGAGAACATTTTTGTCATTAATGTAAGTACTATTTGCATGTTCTACTTTGGGATTGGGATTATATTTGAGTTAGTTCATCCAAGCAGATATTCTTCCATTTATGATAGACACTGCCTTTACATAGTGATTGTCTGGCTCTTTCTGGAATAATTTCTGTTCATATAATTTTCCCCTGATTATTATTATAGAAGAATCATTATTTTTATTTATTTATTTATTTATTTTTGAGTCAGAGTCTCACTCTGTCGCCCAGGCTGGAGTACAGTGGCACTCTCCCAGCCACTGCAACCTTGACTTGCTGGACTCAGGTGATTCTTCTGTCTCAGCCTTCCAAGTAACTGGAACTACAGGCACACACCACCATGCTTAGCTAATTTTTTGACTTCTTATAGAGATGAGGTCTCGACATGTTGTCCAGGCTGGTCTTGAACCCACGAGCTCAAGCAGTCCTCTCGCCTGCCCTCCCAAAATGCTGGGATTACAGGCGTGAGCCACCACACCTGGCAGAAAATCCATTATATTTATTATTGTCTTGTGATAGTAATTTTGTTTTTAAGTGACAATGTCTAGTTTAATAATGACTAGTTATTAGTCGTTAAACTAGAGGCTGAGTGGTATGAACTAGACCCTCATCTGCCTCTGACCACGTTTCCATCAAAATTAAATGTTCTCAGGGACCTTTTCACTTTTGCCTGGACTCCCTTTCATAAATATAAGAAGACTTACCTTTCCTAAAATTTTACTGTATATAGTGCATAGGTATATGTTGAGATGGTATTAGTTTTAACAATAAAATATATAAAACTGATGCTGGGTGTGGTGGCTCATGCCTAAAATCCCAGCACTTTGGGAGGCAGAGGCAAGAGGATTGCTTGAGCCCAGGGGTTTGTGACCAGCCTGGGGAACTTGGCAAGACCTTGTCTCTACAATAAATCAAAAACCTATGCAGATGTGGTGTGGTATGCACCTGTGGTTTCAGCTATGGGAAGGATGAGGTAGAAGGATTGCCTGAGCCTAGCAGGTCAAGACTGCGGTGGCCATGAGTGTGCCGCTGCACTCCAGCCTAGGGGACAGAGTAAGACTCTGACTCAAAAAAAAAAAGAAAAAGAAAAATATATATAGTCACACACATATATATAAAACTTTTGCCTAAGGATGGAAATTGTAGGCATGCAGGCCTGGCAATAATGTCCTCATCACTTGGCCTCATGTTTTGTGAAACTGCATTAGTCTAACCATGAATATATATCCAAAGGGGAAGGAACAGACTGATACAGGCATTCCCCTCGCCCACACCACTAACTTTATTGAGGTTTAATTGGTATAAAAAACTGCACATAATTAATGTGTACGGTTTTGATATATGTATACACTTATGTTACTGTTACCATAATCAAGATAATAAACATATCCATCATCGCCAAAAGTTTGTGTGTGTGTGTGTGTGTGTGTGTGTGTGTGTGTGTGTGTGTGTGTGTAAGAATGCTTAACAAATTTTTCAGTACACAATACCTTATTAACTATAGGCACTATGTGGTACAACCAGTCTCTTACTCATTTTGTATAACTCTAACAAAGATATTTTTCTGTGGATACCTTAGATATGTTTCTAGGAACCTAACAAATAGTTAACAGCATTCTGGGACATTTAAATTTTCCTTGAAGAAAAGATCCTAATGAGAAAGCTTCCAGGGCTTAGCAAAATAGATGTTGTTCCTTCAATTTGCCTAGCTTTCCTCAAAGGACTTTCTTCTTTCCTGTAGTGAGATTAGTCGCCTGGACCTGGGTCTAAGTGTGGAGGTATGGAACAAAGGACTGATCTGGGATACCATGTTGGGGACCGTGTGGATTGCCTTGAAGACTATTCGTCAGTCTGATGAGGTCAGTCAGTGCATTGCCCATTTGGAGGTATGGTTCCTAGCCCTTGCTTCTCTCTATACTAGCTCCACTCTAGGTAATATTCATCCATACATCTCAGATTATTCTGTTTCCTTTTTAATTAGAGAGTGTGTGGCCTGCCTATTCCTAACTTCACCCAGAGGTTTTATTTAAGTCTGGCCTACTCTGTGTCCTGTGACTGAACTCAGAGGTGCCAAAGCACCTCAGCGCTGGTAGCCAGCCAGCCCCTTCTGAGTAGTGTTTACCCGGGGTACGTTTGATTTCTGCATTCTCACACTTCCCTGTGAGGAGTTCCATTTAACTTCCTTGCTGAATACTATTCTCTACTTTGTCTGAGTCACCAATCTTTAGAGAATTGGTTTTAGTCTTCTTCTTCCACATGTAACCCTAACAGAGTTTAAGAAACTACCAGACTTGGCAATTGATATTTCTAGTCCAGAACTCTCAACCGATTTTCCCAGATTAGACCACAACTCAGCATCATTTTCTTATAGACACTCACTTTGGACCTGTTTAAACTTGATTACATTCCTATTTGGCTTTAACGCAGACCATGAGTTCTCTTTGGGATTGGAGAGATTTTTCTGTATTTTTTTTAGTTCTGGCTAAGTCTATCTATTTCCCTAGGTAGATGGGGAGTTCATTTTCAGATGGCAGACCCCAGTTCAATTCCATTTAGCTAGCAGTGTTGATAGCTTTATACTGATTAGAAGCAGTGACATATCATTAGGTGACACAGTCATTAAGAATTGTGCAGATTAAATATTGATCCACGGAGATGCTTAGTTTTAGAGTTTGATATTCCAGAAATTGTAGTCTCATTGAGCCTGCAAAGCTGAGCACAGTGAAAGCTGCTCTTCCCAACAAAGAGGGAGAACAGAAACCATATGCAGCAGAGGGAGGAAGTGACAGTGGCATGTTTGCCTTCTCAGGATGTGAGTGGTCCTTAGACGCTCTCAAGCAAGAAACTTCAGAGAAAAACTCCTGGCTCTTGAATCAAGAGGGGAGCCTAGAAAGATTAAAGTTTAATCCTAGATTTTTGTTTCCTAGGAAGGGCCTGGGGAGTGGTCCACATTGGAAGCAGAGACATTAATGAAAGATGATGAGATCTGTGGAACTAAAAACCCAACTCCTCATAAAATTTTGCTTGATACAAGATTTGAGTTACCTTTTGGTGAGTCTATTTGATTAAATTTTTAAAAACATTTAATGCTTTTTACCGCATTATCAAACATATTGCTTGCCAGTTGTTTCACTAATGTGTATTTTGTCTCCTCAGCCATCTCCTTTGAGGACATTCTGTCTACATCCACTGTCTTCCCCGTAATACCTAGCCCAGGGCATGGTGCAGAGTAGACTATAGAATGGTACTCATTAAAAAATCCACATTCTCTTCCACTCAGTTTTCTGTGACTATTTATTATAATGACTTATGAAATAGCTGCTTGTTAGTTTTATTCTTTTTTTTTGTTTTTTTTTTTTTAAGAAAGGGAGATTTAGCCGGGCTCGGTGGCTCAGCCTGTAATCCCATGCCTTTGGGAGGCTGAGGTGAGTGGATTGCCTGAGCCCGCGGGTTCAAGACCCACCTGGGCAGCGAGACCTCATCTTTACAATAAATCAAAAAATCAAGCCGGGCTCGGTGGCTCAGCCTGTAATCCCGCGCCTTTGGGAGGCTGAGGTGAGTGGATTGCCTGAGCCCACGGGTTCGAGACCCGCCTAGGCAGTGAGACCTCATCTCTACAATAAATCAAAAAATCAACTGGGTGTGGTAGTGCATGCCTTTAATTCCAGCTACTTGGAAGGCTGAGGCGGAAGGATCGCCGGAGCCCAGCAGGAA